TGGGGGTTAGGAGGGGTTAATCTTCTCCTTTGCCTTCCTCCTGGACAGAAAGTGTGCTTAAGCTCTCTCTGTGTCGAGGTGGCGAGCTGAGCCGTGGCGAGCCAAAGCAGAAGCTCTTTACCGGTCTCTGTAGCGTGTTTGGCCAAGGCTGACTGGCTGCCAAACAGCCAGAGACAGAGCAGGGATGAATCAGCACTGACAAGGTGAAGCCAGCTTCGTGTTCGCCGGCTGACAGCTCAGGTGCTCAGAGAGATGGAGACACAACAGATTACATTTAGGCCACTGCAGAGAGAGAGAGGAGGGAAGAGAGAGGGGCAGATAAAGCGAGAAAGAAAGAAGAGAGTCCAAAATGGCTTTTGGACTCCAGAAACTTTTCTCAGAGATAAAGGAGAAAGTTGGATTGGTTCATGTGGGTGATAATGTGAGCTGTCAGTGTGTGGTGGTCCTTAAAGCTGGCAACAAATGTGATGCCAAAGAGAAGCAATAAATAAATAAGAACAATAGTATTTGAGGCTTCTAGTGTATAAAGTGTGGAGAAATTATGGATCAGTTTCTCTAGAGTTGTCTGCAAACATTGCAAATACATAGATGTACAGTATGTGCTAGTACATGTGTAGAATAATATGCAGGCTTTGGTGTGTGCGTGTCTGTATACAAATCAGTGGTGGATAAATGTGTAGATACTAAGAGATACACCTATCTGCATACTATATATATCCTCAACCAATCATTTCTTAACAGTAATTAACCATGAAAGCCACCAACAAAAGGTAACCCAGTATCACACCAAAGCGTGTAATGCTCCTCCTGCGTGGTAGTCATTTTTTCAACATGTTATCATTCAAGTTAGCGACAATAAATATGCAACAGACGCTTAAACTTTCAGTCATGTAAAGCTTGCGGAGGTCACACCTTTTTTATGTTTAGGAAAAGATATAAAGTTTAGTTATATACCTGACGTGAGTTAAGTATGTTACGTCAGTTTAAGGCTCAACAATGAATTGTCATTTTGTGTTCATTCTGGCGGCCCCAGTGGACAAAAGCGGTAGGGTAAAATTTTTATTTTTGCTAAAACTTTCACTATATCCTGACGGTAGTACATGAGACAGATAATCTGTGAAAAGAGTCGACAGTAATTACTGATTGTTCATTGCTCATTCCTAGACCGACGCTAGGAGGGAGACTTGGCAATCAACTATCTTCAAGCTCCCAACCCAAAGCGTCCTTCTATCTTTCTTGGCTCTGATTGGTTGTTTTTCGTTCAGGGCCGGTGGATTCTCGTAAATACCATTAGGAG